ATCATCAGGACTGTGCGCATAGCATTTACATCCGACAATCGAACAATACTGTAGTTTTCAAATTGGCACATGCCTTACAAACAAAGCGCTGTTATACTGCTTCACCGGAATGTTAGCTAACAAACTCAAAGTAGAGGATATATTAAAAATGAGATGGCATCTTTGTTATGTTGACCCTATTTTGCGCATCAAATTCATGATTATGTCCCATCTTTGACTAATAAATATGGAAAATGTTTATTTATTGCGCATCCGCTGTTTCTTGCCTAGTGTATGTAAGGACTCTTTTATCAACAGACCTAATGATCTTGAATGATCTTTGTCCATGGCCACAGAGTATATATTTGCCCATGCGGTTGTATTCTGGGTAAGTGGGCATGACGTGAAAATAAAAATGCGAATACGTCAGTTCTGGAGCTGAGTTGCCCTGTAATAATGAAAAAGAAACCGTGCAGCGACGTCGAGCCATATGTCGCAATGTTTGCCTCAGTCACGCCTCTACATGCAATAGTCATAAGTGCGTGATGTTGACTGTAAGAGTGCTATTCGTAATACAGGCTGGAAAAATGAGTTCATTCGAAGAACTGCTTTTCTGGTGAATTTTATCGAATTTGAGGATAAAGAATTCAAAAACAGGTTCTCTTAGAACCAGCTATTCTCCACGAAGGAGAGAGATGGTTTGGACATGCCATCAGGTATCAGGGGAGGGGGGTTGCGAAACAAACTCCCCTAACGGTCACATATAAGACGGGCAGCGGACAGACCGGCATCCAGGTCTTTCGATTATATATAGCATCTAACATTTTGAGCCCCTTATAATTTAATTCAGTCCTCAAAGCATGCCTGACTGACAAAGTAGAAGCACTGTTGGCACATCCTCCTGAAATCAGAAGCAAATAGAGAGTTTTGGAACCGACGGTAATGTTTAACACTTCGAAATTGACACTTGGGCACAATGTGTCTGTGACCGCACGAAAAATAATAAGCACCAGGTATTTATATAACTTCAATAATTTTTTGCCAACCTTCAGATATAATCGAATAGCTTTTTCGAACTTTGGCTGATAAACAAGGAATAAGATGTTTATTTTCACGTTCGTTCAGGCAACAGATGTATTATGGCGAAAAACACGTAACCAGTTTTTTGGATTTTATCTCAAAAATACCTCGCAGACATCGCGCTCTGGTCCAATGGCAGCTGCAGTCAATAATCGACTGTACCTTAATCTATATAAGTCATATGAAGTACAGATTGAGGTCGAAATAAACAGATTGATCGCTTGAAAATGCTCTTAAATCATACACACAGTGACTTGCTGATCTTTCGGGCTAAATAACCCACGTCTGCAACAGGGTCCTTCGATAAATTTGCCTTAGGAAATTTGTGGCCGGCACTTGGACATTTGCCCGATCGGTTTGGCAAGTAGTAGCCGTTTCTTCCTTCGGAACCGACCGGTCGAAGACGGTCAAGAACGACCTGGCACAAGTGGATCGAATCTCTTTGCTCCATACACGGATTACCTTTCACCGAAGCTCGAATTGGATGGCAGAGGATTGGAGACGTTAGAAACACTGTGTGACGCGTTTGCCTCTGCGGCCCGCAAGGTTAAACGCTCATCGAAAGTGTTTCAGTGACTTTTCTTC